ACGTAACGAATTTTATAGTATTTATTTCAACATTTTATCGCATTTATTTAAAAAGTCAAATATTTTAGCTTTAAGCCCGAAAATCCCGATTAATTCAAAAACGCTCAAATCATCCACTTTTATACTTTTATATCATTTCAAATATTATGTCTAAGCCGTCAAAACCGAGATCTAGTTATTATACCTTAAAACGACTCAGATCGGGTGGACCGAAAATAGATCGGGTAAGAACAAGAGTCCAAGAAACAAATCGGACCGGATCTCAAGCTTCAAGGTTGCTGAAACTGGACTTAAGGTGCTGCTGGTCGGAGCTAGGGTCCAGAAACGGAGCTGCTGAGTCGGGCCTGAGGTGCTGGACGTGAACAGGAGCTGCTGGAGTTCGGAGGGGCTATTTTCCGGCGAGAAGAAACTGGTTTCGCCAGAAAAACAGAGATGGTGGCCGAGCTGGGGGCTGGTCATCGAAAAACAGAGCTACAGTGGACAGAGCTTGTTGTTTCCGTCGGATTTGAGGTGCTGGATGGGTCTGGTCAGGCTTGGTGCAGGGTGGTGTGAAGTCGCCGGAAAAAATGAAGTTGGTGGCGGAGCTGCGGCCTGGTGCGAATAGGAGCTGATAGGGTCGCGATTTCGGGCCTTTGACGCGAGCTTTGAGCTTGGACTGGACGGAGCTGAGGGGATGAGCTTGCCGGGAGGAGGAAGGAGCTGCTAGGGTCGCGATTCCGGCGGGGCGGAGCTTGGCTGCGGGCCGTCACGCGGGAGCTGCGGGAACCGAGGCGGGCTGGCCGTGAAGAGCTGGAAACGAGCTGCTGGGGGTCGGGCTGAGGTCTGGATGCGGCAGTGGCGAGCTCGCCGGGGAAGATGGCCGGAAATGGAGCTCGAGCTGCGGGTTCGCCGGAAAACACTAGGGGTCGCCGGATTTCGGGAGGAGATGAAGCTCAAGCCATGGGTCTAGTGTATAGAGATGAACTTTGAGCTTGATGGTGTGGCTATGGAGGAATTCTTGGCAAGGAAGAAGATGAATAGCAAAAAAAAGAGGCTAGGGTTTTGTGTCTTGGTGTTGGGAGACAAGGGGGCAAATTTTATTTATAGCATGAGGGAGGGATTAGGGTTTTCTCCTTGTTGGGCCTAAAACCGGGCTAAAGAATCGGGCCATAAATTTAATAAAGTCGGGCTAGAATTTAGAATGCCTCGATTTAATATCGTTGGACCCAGTAATTGAAATAATTAGGCCGTTTGTCGAAATAAAAATAGCCCACTAAAATGGGTCCGAAAATTAGACTCGATTTTTAAAATATCGCTTGGTCTAGAAAAATAATTCGACTACTCGAATTAAAATGGCCGACTAAAATAAATTATCGGAATTCGCTTGAAAATTAGTTGGGCTCGAATAATCAAATTATCCAGCTTCGGATCACTTAAATAAAATTCCAACTTTAATAATTTAAGTCGAAAGAATTACTCATGGCTTAGACTTTAATACTATTTATTTATTTTAATGCA